GACACGAGGCGATTTCGGGGATCCCAAAACTTTGGGGTTCCTGGGGGTGTCCTGGGGGTGTCACAGGAGTTGGGGGGTGTCCCCGAGGTGTCCCCAATGTCCCCGCTGTCCCCGCTGTCCCCAGAGTACGTGGTGCGGCACTGGCAGGAGGACGCGTTTTTCGGGGAGCAGTTCCTGAGCGGGGTGAACCCCGTCCTGCTGCGCCGCTGCCCCCGCCTGCCCCCCAACTTCCCGGTCAGCGAGGCCATGGTGGCGCCCAGCCTGGGGACAGGGACGTCCCTAAAGGAGGAGATGGAGGTCAGGCACCCCAAAAACACCCAAAAACACCCCAAAACACCCCAAAAACATCAAACACCCCAAACAAACACCGAGCCCATGGTGGCGCCCAGCCTGGGGACAGGGACGTCCCTAAAGGAGGAGATGGAGGTCAGGCACCCCAAAAACACCCAAAAACACCCCAAAAACACCCCAAAAACACCCCAAAACCACCCCAAACAAACACCGAGGCCATGGTGGCGCCCAGCCTGGGCACAGGGACGTCCCTAAAGGAGGAGATGGAGGTCAGGCACCCCAAAAACACCCAAAAACACCCAAAAACACCCCAAAACCACCCCAAACAAACACCGAGGCCATGGTGGCGCCCAGCCTGGGCACAGGGACGTCCCTAAAGGAGGAGATGGAGGTCAGGCACCCCAAAAACACCCAAAAACACCCAAAAACACCCCAAAACCACCCCAAACAAACACCGAGGCCATGGTGGCGCCCAGCCTGGGCACAGGGACGTCCCTAGAGGAGGAGATGGAGGTCAGGCACCCCAAAAACACCCCAAAACACCCAAAAACACCCCAAAACCACCCCAAACAAACACCGAGGCCATGGTGGTCCCAGCCTGGGCACAGGGACGTCCCTGCAGCGCGAGATGGAGGTCAGGCACCCCAAAAACACCCCAAAACCCCAAAAAAACCAAAAACCCCAAACAAAAACCCCAAAATCATGATTTGGGGGATCCCATCCCGGGGGTACCCCCCGATTTTGGGGTCCCCCTGATTTCGGGGTGCCCCCCAGGCAGGGAACATCTACCTGGCTGATTACGGGGTGCTGGCTTTTGGGGTTTTTTCCCAGAATTTTGGGTTTTTTTCCCAGGATTTTGGGGTTTCCATGATTTGGGGGATCCCAGTCCGGGGGTACCCCCCGATTTTGGGGTCCCCCTGATTTCGGGGTGCCCCCCAGGCAGGGAACATCTACCTGGCCGATTACGGGGTGCTGCAGGGGCTCCCCACGGCGCTCATCGACGGCCGCCCCACCTTCGTGGCCGCCCCGCTGTGCCTGCTGCACCAGCGCCCCGACGGCGAGCTGCGGCCCCTCGCCATCCAGGTGAGACCCCAGACCCAAAACGGGACCCCAAAAACCCCAAAGGGACCCCAAAAACCCTGAAAGGGACCCCCGTAATAACAGGGAAACCCAAAAATGAGGGGTCTGAAATGGGGGGCTGAGAACGAGGGCAATGGGGGAGCTGCGGCCCCTCGCCATCCAGGTGAGACCCCAGACCCAAAACGGGACCCCAAAAACCCCAAAGGGACCCCAAAAACCCCAAAGGGACCCCAAAAACTGACCCTAACCCCAAAAACTGACCCCGACCCCAAAAATGGGGGATCTGGAATGGGGGGGCTGAGAACGGGGGCAATGGGGGAGCTGCGGCCCCTCGCCATCCAGGTGAGACCCCAGACCCAAAAAGGGACCCCAAAAACCCCAAAGGGACCCCAAAAACTGACCCCGACCCCAAAAATACAAAAAGGGACCCCAAAAATGGGGGGGGTCTGAAATGGGGGCTGAGAACGGGGGCAATGGGGGAGCTGCGGCCCCTCGCCATCCAGGTGAGACCCCAGACCCAAAAAGGGACCCCAAAAACCGAAAAGGGACCCCAAAAATGAGGGGGAAACCCAAAAATGGGGGGGATCTGAAGTGGGGGGCTGAGAACGGGGGCAATGGGGGAGCTGCGGCCCCTCACCATCCAGGTTAGACCCCAGACCCGAAACGGGACCCCAAAAACCCCAAAGGGACCCCAAAAATGAGGGGGAAACCCAAAAATGGGGGGGATCTGAAGTGGGGGGCTGAGAACGGGGGCAATGGGGGAGCTGCGGCCCCTCACCATCCAGGTTAGACCCCAGACCCGAAACGGGACCCCAAAAACCCCAAAGGGACCCCAAAAATGAGGGGGAAACCCAAAAATGGGGGGGATCTGAAGTGGGGGGCTGAGAACGGGGGCAATGGGGGAGCTGCAGCTCCTCACCATCCAGGTGAGACCCCAGACCCAAAAAGGGACCCCAAAAACACGAAAAGGGACCCCAGAAACCCACCCCGACCCCAAAAATGGGGGGTCTGAAATGGGGGGCTGAGGACGGGGGCAATGGGGGAGCTGCAGCTCCTCACCATCCAGGTGAGACCCCAGACCCAAAACACACCCCAGACACCCCCAAATGGACCCCAAACATCCCAAAGGGACCCCCAAAATCCCAAAAGGACCCCAAAAACTGACCCTAACCCCAAAAACTGACCCCGACCCCAAAAATCCAAAAAAGGGACCCCAAAAATGGGGGGGATCAGAAATGGGGGGCTGAGAATGGGGGGATTCCCCCTGGGAATGGGGCATTCCCCCTGACCCTTTTGGGGGTCCCTGTGAGGGTTTCGGAAACGCAAAAAAAGACCCCAAAAACCTATCCCGACCCCAAAAATCCAAAAAAGGGACCCCAAAAATGGGGGGGATCAGAAATGGGGGGCTGAGAATGGGGGGATTCCCCCTGGGAATGGGGCATTCCCCCTCACCCTTTTGGGGGTCCCTGTGAGGGTTTGGGGTCCCTGTCAGGGGTGGGGGTCCCTGTCAGGTTTTGGGGGTCCCTGTCAGGGTTTGGGGGTGCCCCTTTTAGGGTCCCCTGACCCTTCAGAGATCCCCCTGACCCATCTGGGTTCCCCTTCTCTTTGGGTTCCCTTTGACCCTTTTGGGGTACGAACATTTTGGGTTCTCCTGACCCGTTTGGGGTCCCTGTGAGGATTTGGGGGTGCCCCTTTTGGGGTTCCCCTGACCATTTTGGGGTTCTCTGACCCATTTTTGGGGTTCCCAGCTGTCCCAGGAGCCCGGCCCGGACTCGCCGGTGTTCGTGCCGCAGGACCCGCCGTGGCTCTGGCTGCTGGCCAAGGCCTGGGTGCCCCGTGGGGGTTTTGGGGTCACTGTCAGGGTTTTGGGGTGCCCCATTTCACCCATTTTTGGGGTTCCCTGACCCATTTTTGGGGTTCCCAGCTGTCCCAGGAGCCCGGCCCGGACTCGCCGGTGTTCGTGCCGCAGGACCCGCCGTGGCTCTGGCTGCTGGCCAAGGCCTGGGTGCCCTGGGATGGTTTTGGGGTGACCATTTTTGGGGTTCCCTGACCCATTTTGGGGTTCTCTGACCCATTTTTGGGGTTCCCTGACCCATTTTTGGGGTTCCCAGCTGTCCCAGGAGCCCAGCCCCGAGTCGCCGGTGTTCGTGCCGCAGGCCCCGCCGTGGCTCTGGCTGCTGGCCGAGGCCTGGCTGCCCCGTGATGGTTTTGGGGTGCCCCATGTCACCCATTTTTGGTGTTCCCTGACTATTTTTGGGGTTCCCTGACCCATTTTT